CCCGCCCCCTCCACAATCCCCCAGCCCCTGTCCCCATTCTCACCGCGGGTCCCCGGCCGACACGGGGCGCGGTGGCCGCAGGGTYGCACCCCCCGGCTGCGCAGGAACCGCTCCCGCAACTCCAGCCGCTTGCCGCTGATGGACACCTGCGGGGACACCGCCCCCCCGTCACCCGCTGCCAGCGGGGTCACCAACAGGGTCACCCTACGCCAAGGGGACACCCCCCGCCAAGGGGACACCAGTGGAGGTCATCTCTCCAAGGAGGGGACACCAACAAGGGGACACTAATGGCATCACCCCTCTGCCAAGGGGTTCACTTGCCATCAAGGGGACACTGAGGCAGGGCATCACCAACCCAGTGAGGGAACTCCAAGGAGGGGATGTGAAGGGCGGTCATCTYCCCGACAAGGGGGCCACCTCCCAACCAAGGGGACACCACCAATGGGGTTGACCTTCCCAAGGGAGCACCAAGAGGGGTCATCCCCCAACAAAGGGACGTAAGTGGGGGTCACCTCCCCACCAAGGGCATCACACCCCCAATATGGAGGAGGCACCTCCTCACCTGAGGGTGTCACCTCCCCTCCCAGGGGACACAAGGGGGGTCTCACCTCTCCAATGCAGCCGCGGAAGGAGGCGTTAGTGGGGGGATGCAGAGGRGGCTCGGTGCCCCCCAGGTACAGGGGGCTGCGTAGGTTGAGYCCCTGGCTCTTGCCAGGTGAGGAGCGTTTCACCGGAGCGGCATTGTCCACCACCAGAGTCCCGTCCTTGTGTACCCGTTCAGCTATCACCCAGTGCCACTGGCCCAGGGCCACCGGCTCCGCGCTCCGCAGCACTGCTGGGCCTGCAGGGACAGGGGATGGTGTCACAGGGGGACACTGGGGGACACCAGGGGTGCTCAGGCACCTGAGAGTTGCCCTGGGTGCTGCTGGGGGACATCAGTGATGCTTGGGGACCCCAGGCAGGACCTGGGGACCTCAAAGAATTCAAGGCAACAGGGTCACACTTGGGGACTACATTGGTGCCAGAAGATCCCAATGACACTTGTCAAGTGACCCCACAGTTCCCAGTGACCAACGAGGTCAAAGGGAACTCAGGAACATTTAGGGATCTAAGTGAAGCCAGGGGGTCCCAGTGGTATGACAGCGATGCCTGGGGACACTGGCAGTGCCTGGGGACACAGTRGATGGTGGCAGACTCTAGGGATGTGATGCCAGGGGACCTGAGTGACACTACAGTACTTCAAAGATGCCAAGGGGACCTCAAGAATGCCCAGGGACCCCTGGGGGACAGCAGGGAACCCCACCGATGTCCAGGGACGCTGGCAGCACCCGGGAACACCAAAGAGGCCAAGGGACCCCACTGCAGCTGGGGAACCCCTTTGGTGCCAGTGAACTCTGGTGACGCCCTTACTGCCAGGGTGCCCAGTGCCACCTCTCCCCAGTGCCCTGTCCCTGTGCCACCCACCTGAGCCCAGCTCATAGCGGAACTCGAGGTGGCCACCAAYCATGGCCAAGGCCACGAAGTCCTCGACGGGGGCGGCTTTGCCGGCGCTGAAGAGCAGGAGTCCGTCGGGCGCGAGCGGCAGGAACTCCACCTCCAGCCGCAGCTCGTGGTGCACGTTGGTGAGGGGCGGGTACGAGACGAAGGCTCCCTCCTCATCGAAGGATGGCACGTTCACCACCTCACCTGCGCATCCTGGTCAGTGCCCGCTGTGGGACCCCCCCTCCATCCTCAGAGGGGGACCCCAACCTCCATCCTCAACCTCCAGCCACACAGTGGGGCCCAGTGTCCAACCCCACGCTGAGACCCAACCTACATCCCCAGGTTGAGACCCCAGCCTCCACCCCCACGGTGTCCGTATTTCCATGCTGGTCCTGATCTTTGTGCCAGTGTCCCCAAGGTGGTACCCGTCCCCATACCCATGGCACCAGGGTGGTCCCAGCCATGTCCCCATTTCCCCAGGGCGGTTCCCACCCCATCCCCATGCCCCAGGGTGGTGCCAGCTGTGTCCCTGTGTCACTCACCCTCAGTGCACCTGTCCCCTGTCTTGCCCAGGTGGCAGTGGCAGCTGTAGCCCTGCCCATCCAGCCGGTTGACACAGGTGGCATCAGGCCCACACGCCTCTGTGGGGTGACAAGCTGTGAGCACCCGATCGGGAGGGACCTTGGGATGATGTSCCCATGGTGGCATGGTGTCACCTACCTGGGTGACAGTGCAAAGCCTGCGAGTACTCGCAGTTGCTGCCAGTGAAGCCATGGGGACATCGGCAGACATAGGTGCCACTCTCATCATCCTGGCACACGCCACCATTCTGGGTGAGGAGTGACATGGGTGTTAGCAGTGGGCTGGGATGGGTGGGATCACCTCCTYCCCTCCATCCTCACCTGGCACGGCCTGTCCTGGCAGGTGGGACAATTGGTGACACCATGCGCCTGCAAGTCCATGTCCCCAAAGGCCACCTCCTCCCCTTGGATGAGGAGCTGGCGCACGCAGCCTGCRGGGTGGTGGAGATGGGCAGAACTGTCACACGATGCCCAGCCCCACTCCAYCCTGGTGCCCCCCAAAAGCTGCTACTCACCCATGAAACCCTGGCTGAGCCCTGTCTTTGCCACAGCACCGATGTCGGGGTATCCGCCCAAGTACAGCTCCTCGTTCAGATCCAGCCCTTGGAACTTCCCCTGTGGGCACRGGCAGGTGGGCACCACCTCCAGCACCCCAAGCCCCACCTGACACCCACTCCCCTCCAAAATGGGTACCTGGGAGGTGCCRTTCACAGCGGGGTGCCCGTCCAGGCCCAGCGAGCCCCAGGTGAGGTTGCGGAGCAGCCGCACAGTGTGGTACTCGCCCAGCCGCAGCGCCGTGGGGTGACGGATGGTGGCCATGCCCGAACCAGCATCAAACCTGATTTTTTGGGGGTACAAGGGGTGTGGGTGGGTGCTGGCACCCATCTCCCACCTATTCCATAGTACCCACTYGTAGGTCTTACCTAAACTCAGGGCGTCCACCCACCAACCCAAAGGAGATGAAGTCAGCRCCGCTGTTTTTCCGCTGGCCATTGTAGAGGAGAAGCCCTGAGGGGTGGCAGRGGATCAGGTGAGACAGACCCCATCCTGAGGTGGGGGTTGAGTCCTAAGGGACCCCATAATCCTCCCATAAAGTGGAGGCTCTCACATGAGTAGAGAATGGGAGATAAAGGAGGGCAAAGAAAGGATGAGGGGAGGGGAGGATGTTGGGAGGTAAGGGAAGGGGAAATGATTGAGGAGTCATGAACAGGGACACAGGGGGAAGCTGGGACACASGGACTCACCATCAGCAGCATCAGGTCGAAAGGTGATGAGGATCTCAAACCTCTTGTAGGCATCCTTGATGGTGGGCAGGGGGAGGAAGGAGCGGGGCGACTGCCCGAAATAGGGGACCACGTGCTCTGCGGGGACAGGGGGTCAGGAGGGGCGGGGTACATCATCCCCTGCTCCTATCCATCCATCCGTCTGTTTGTCTGTCCTCACCTTGGACCTTGAGAACGTAGTAGGCCGTCTGTTGGCCGCGGTGGTTGGCAGCCACGCAGGTGTAGACGCCGGCGTCCTCGGGGCGCACGGCYGGTAGGGTCAGCACATTCCCCTGCACCCTGGCACCTGCTGGCAGCTCCCCCTCCAGCTGTGGCACAGCAGGACAGGGGGTCAGCACCCATCAGCAGCCCCCAAACCCCCTGCCACCCCCACCCTCCATCCCTCCATCGCACCTTGCTCCAGGTGATCTCTGGCAGTGGGAAGCCAGATGCCAAGCACGGTAAAACAGCTGCTGATCCGATGGACACCTCCTTCACCTCCGGCTGCCCAGCGATTTGAGGGGCAGCTGGGGATGCACAGAGGTGTCACCACCCTGCAGTGACACGCTGTGTGTCCCCATCTCTGTGTCCCCGTGCTCACCTTGCACATGGAGGATGACGTGGGACTGAACGGTGCCCACGGCATTGGTGGCGGTGCAGCGGTACTGCCCAGCATCTGCCCGCTCCACCTGCTCGATGGTGAGGGTGCCAGCGCGGACCAGCACCCCGGGGCGGATGCGGCCCCCCACTTTGCTCCAGGTGACGTGGGGACGGGGTTCCCCCAAGCCCAGACACTCCAGCTCCACTGTCGTTCCCGCCAGCACTGTCTGCACCGCCGTCCGGATGTTGATCAGGGCCCTGGGGAGAGCTTGGGAGGACATTGGGGTTTTGGGGCAAGTCCCTGGGAGGCATTGAGGTCTGGAGCCAGAGTGGGGAATAGGGAGAAACAGGACTCCTGAGGGGATGTGGGACCATTGGGGTGGCTGTGGGAATGTGGAGAGGTCCTCATGAGCACGGGGAAACATGGAGGGTACCAGGGTGGTCATGGGTGTGGGAAGAAATTGGGGGCATTGGGGTGTCTGTAGGTGTGRGGAGAGATTGATTGTATCAGGGTGTACACAGGCATGGGAAAGGTTGGGAGTATTGGGGTTCCTGTGGGCATGAGGAGAGATTTGGGGTCACCACAGGCATTGGGGGCAATGGGGGGTATCAAGGTGGTCTGTGGGTGTAGGGAAATGGAAGGTGCTGGGGTGCCCCTTGGTGCAGGGACATGGGGGTCCCTTGTTTGTGGGGGACAGGTCAGGGGGTGCCTGGGTGCCCGGTACTGGGGTGACACTCCTACCCTGGACAGTGAGGGTGGCCTTGTCCTCTGCCTGCCTGCCTGGCGCACTGGCCCGGCACACGTACACGCCCTGTGCCCCTGGCGCCAGCTCCGGCATCCTGCAGGGACACAGCTGCGGTGAGGGACCCCACGGGGGGCCAGCACGGAGGTCCCACCTCCCTGTCCCCCGTTCCTTACCGCAGCATCCCGTCCTGCACGCTGTGGCGGGGGGGCAGCTCCCCGCCTTCCTTCAGCCACTCCACATGGGCRCGGGGGTCCCCGGAGACAGAGCAGGCAAATTCGGCAGTGCCACCCACCCCCTTGACGAGGCTCCCTGGTGTCACCCGCACCACCAAGGGACCGCCAGAGATGTCCCCACCTTCACCAGCATCACCTGGAAAAGATTCAGAGCCCCAGTGGTACGCAGTGGCACTTGCATCATCCATGTGGGATGCAGAGCCCTGGTGGTACCCAGCGGCACCACCCAGGCTGGATGTGGCGCTCTGGTGGTACCTGGCAGCACCAGGATCACCCAGGCAGGATGCAGAGCTCTGAGGGTACCCAGGGGCACTGCCACCACCCCATACAGAGCCCCAATGGTACCCCAATAACTAGGCTGGGGACGGGCTCACCATGAACAACCAGACGGGCGAAGGCCTCGGCGGTGCCAACRCGGTTGGTGACGAGGCAGCGGTAGGTGCCGGCATCGGTGGGGGCTGCAGGGCTGAGGCGGAGGAGGCCGGCGCGGTGGGCCACGCGTGCTGAGAGGCTGCCGTTCACCTTGTCCCAGGTGTAGTGCAGCGGGGGGGTGCCGTGGGCCAGGCACTGCACCTGCAGCGCGTCACCCGCCCGCACTGCCGCGTCCTCTGGAAGGATGGTGGCGTACGGAGGTGCTGCAGGATGGATGGTGCCGTCAGCCGGGATGGGGCCAGGAATGCTCAGCAGGGCAAGGAGGGTGTCAGTGAGGAGTGTAGCAGGTGATAGAGATGGGAATGTGTTGGGATGGATGAGAGGTGGATAGATCCATGAGGATGGGGTGGATGGAGGAGTGTGAGAGGATATGGAGATATGGATGGGTGGAAAGGCTGAGCGGTGGATGAATCCACCAGGAAGGAAGGGATGGATGGATGGATGGATGGATGGATGGATGGATGGATGGATGGATGGATGGATGGATGGATGGATGGATGGATGGATGAACAGACGGTGGAGTTTGAGAAGAGATGGTGAGGTGGGCCTGTGCTGGGATGGATGAGATGGATGATGCACAAGGAGAAGATGGATGCAGGAGTCAGGAAATGTAGAGTTGGATGTGAGCTGGAAAGACTGAATGATGGATGAATGTACCAGRAAGGGGTGGAGGGATAAGTTTGAGGAGAGATTGCGAGACAAGTATATGCTGGGATGGATCATATGGATGGATGCAMAAGGAAGGGATGGATGAAAGAGGTGTGAGAAGAGATGGAGAGATAGATGTGAGCAGGGACAGATGAGCAATGGATGAATCCACAAGGAATAGCTGGATGGAGAAGTGAGGAAATGTAGATAGGTGTGTGCTGGGATGGATGAGTTGGATGAATGCACAGAGGTAGATGGAGGAGTTAGGAAATGGAGACATGGATGTGAGCTGGGATGGTTTAGAGATGGATGAATCCACAAGGAAGAGATATGTGGGTGGATGGATCAATGACTGACAGAGTTTGGGGGCAGGTAGTGAGTTGGGCGTGTGCTGGGATGGATGAGATGGATGATGCACAAGGAAGGGATGAATGGAAGTGTAAGAGGAGATGGAGAGATGGGCGTGTGTTGGCATGGACCAGAAATGGGTGGATGCACAGGAATAAGATGGATGGAAGAGAGGAAGCAGAAAAGAGTGTCAGTTGGAGTAGGAGAGCAATGGATGAACCCACCAGGAAGGGATGGATGGAAGGGTATGAGAGGAGATTGAGAGATGGATGTGAGCTGTGATGGATGAGAGACAGATGAATTCACAAGGATGAGATGGATGAAAGAATAAGGAGATGGAGATGGATATGTGCTGGGATTGATGAATCCACAAGGAAAATACAGATTGAGGGGTATGAGCAGAGATGAAGAGATGGACATGAGCTGTGATGAGTGATGGGTGAACCCACAAGAAAGAAAGGGATGCAAGAGTGAGAAGATGGAGAGATGGTTGTACGTTGGGATGAACAAGATGGATGGAACCATGAGGAAGAGATGGAAGGACAGATACGAGCAGAGATGAAGACATGGGTGTGAGCTGGGATGGATGAGCCATAAATGGCTCCATGAAGAGGGAATGGGTGGATGGATGGATGGATGGATGGATGGATGGATGGATGGATGGATGGATAGATAGATAGATAGATAGATAGATAGATAGATAGATAGATAGATAGATAGATAGATAGATAGATAGATAGATAGATAGATAGATGATAGATAGATGGATGAGAGAGCAGAAGTGGAGATGGACATTCACAGGGATGAGACAAGTGGGTGGACACATCCACAGGGAGGGATGGGTGATAGAGCTTGAGAGGAGCTTGAGAGGAGCTTGAGAGGAGGAGGATAAATGATGGGATGGAGAGAGGGTGGTCCTGCAGGGAAGGACTGGATGTGAGGTGGGGAGTGGTGATGGAGAAAGCCACATGCAGAGGAAGGATGGGTGATGGCCACACCAGAAGTGGCAGCAGGAAACCAAGGGCATCCCAACCCCCTGCTGTCCCCTCCTTACTCTCCACATCGAGGGTGATGAAGACTTCAGTGGAGCCGAGAGGGCTGCTGGCATTGCAGATGTACTGGCCTGAGTCCTGCTGCGCAACGCGAGGGATGACCAGGCTGCCRTTCACCACACGGTGCTGCCAGGGCAGGGGCGCCCGCAGCTTGGACCACTCGATCCGGGGCGCTGGGTCACCTATGACCACACCATGYCCATCACCGTGGGGTCAGCTACTACTCAGGACATCCCTTCTCTACCATGATCCTCCCGCCTTCCCATACCTCTGGCCGTGCAGTGCAGTGTGGCCGTGTCCCCGGCCACCACGGTGACAGTAGATGGGGCGGTGACCTCGGGGGCCCCGGGGTGCCGCTGTGCTGACTCCACGCTGACGTCCACCCGTGCCTGCGCYGAGCCCAGGGCGCTGTGTGCCGTGCACACGTAGGTTCCGGCATGCTCTGGTTTGGCTGGCGAGAGCTGGAGGAGGGGACAGGGTGAGGAGGAGCACCAGGCACTCCCCGGTTCTCCGTGGTGCCTCTGGGTGCCCCCTCACCTGCAGGATGGCCTGGCTGTCCATGTGCAGCAGCGTCTGGTGCTCCACCTTCTGCCGGGAGCCCAGCCGGCTCCAGCGCACCAGCGGTCGTGGTTCGCCCCGGCCCAGGCACTCCAGGCTCAGGGATTTGCCCTCTTTCACTGTCACGGGGCCTGGTGGCATCACTGACACTGTGGGGGCACCTGGAGAAGGAGGAGGACATCAGAGTGGGGATAGGGACATCACCATGAAGGACCATGGGCGTGGCCATGGGGGCACCATCACCCTGAGAGCATTGGGAGCATGGGAGGAAATGAACACGAGGTTGGGGATGGGGATACAATATTTCAGGAGCATCTGAAGCCAACAGAGGACATCAGCATGGGGATGGGGACATCACAATCCCAGGAGCTCCTGGAGGTGCACCAGCATGGGGACACAAGCGCCACCACTCCAGGAGCATCTGAAGCRTGGAGAGGAGATGGGGATAGGGACACCATCATTCCAGGGGTATCTGGATGACATAGAGGACACCAGCATGGTGACAGGGAGACCACCCTGAGAGCACCTGGAGCACATGCAGACACAGACACCTCATACCTTGCACTACGAGGTTGACAACGCTACTGGCAACGCCGAAGTGGTTCGAGGCCACACAGTGGTAGGCGCCCTGGTTGCCCACGTGGGCACCAGTGATGGAGATGACTGAGCCATTGGTGCTGATCTTCACATTGTCTAGGCAAGGAGGAGCCATCAGCATCAGRGCCACCCTGGGGACAATGCCAGGGCCACCCTGGGGACTGCAATACCTTGGAGGTGTTGGCCAGGCCCCATCCGCCAAGTGATGTTGATGGGCCGTGCGCCATCGTGGACACGGCACTTGAAGGTGGCATCTTCACCCGGCGCCACTGCCATGCTATGGGGGTCAATGGAGATGATTGGGCTCTGCAGACCTGTGGGGCCAAAGGGACAGARAGGCCATGAGGTCACTCACATCACCCATCTTCACCCAGCATCCTCCCTCACCCTGTGGTCTCACTCACGGTAGCTCGAGCTGTCACGAGATGTGACGGTGACAGAGACAGTGGCCTCACGGGAGATRCTGCCCGTATCAGCCCGGCACACGTACTCCCCCGAGTCGGCCACTGAGAGCTGTGACAGCCGCAGCCGGGACCCCGAAATCTGGGGACATCATAACACAAGGTGGTGGCATCACCCAGCCAGGCACAGCCACTGCCATMCCCCACCCCACCGGTGTCCCCACCTACCTGGTGCTTGGCTGGTAAGGCCCCACCACGCTTGTACCAGGTGATGGTGGCCTGTCCCTGGCCAGCCACCACGCAGTTGAGGTCTAGAGTCTGTCCCTCGGTGACSGTGGACGCTGAGGACTCTATGTGGATGGGCGGTGTGATGCCGGCAGCTGCATGGGCAGGGTTGAGGGTGAGTGTCTCCAGTGGTCCCTGACACCAGTAGGGACCTGGGCCCTGGAGGGTGGCACTCACAGTGGGATGGGATGGCTCCATCATCGATGGAGACTATGAGGGACGTCTCCTGTGTGATGCCACCTGATGTCACCCGGCACACGTACTCCCCCGAATCGGCTGCTGTCACCTGGGGGATGCGCAGGCGGGTGCCCGACACCTTGAGGGGACAATTAAGGGACAAGTCAGCACCACAGAGCAGGGGATGTGACAAATTCAGGGTGACCSTCCCTTGTCTCCTACCTGGTGGCCAACGGGCAGGGATCCACCACGCTTGTACCACGTCACGGTGGTGGGGCCGGACCCTGCCACCACGCAGTTGAGGTCCAGGGTCTGTCCCTCAGCGATGGCCGAGGACAAAGACTCAATGCGGAGGGGCTGGGTGATGCCAGGGGCTGAGGGAGAATGGGGAAAGGGAATGTTTATCATCAAAGTGACAYCTGTCTGTCCCCAAGGGCTGGCCTCTCTCCCACACTCACTGTAATAGGTGCCAGTGCTGCTGGGCACCGTGACAATGACAGATGCCTCCTGGGTGACGGTCCCCAAGGTCACCCGACACACGTACTCCCCCGAATCAGCCACTGCCACTTGGGCAAGGCGCAGGCGGGTCCCTGACACCTGGGGAGGTGACAAGTTGGGGACACATCAGTGCCTGATGCAGGGCTGTGGCCTGCAGGGCGAAGCCACCTCCCCTGTGTTTCACCTGGCTGTTTGGTGGCAGAGCCCCCCCACGCCGGTACCAGGTGACCTGAGGGTGACCCTGTCCTGCCACCATGCAGTTGAGGTCCAGCGTCTGTCCCTCAGTGACAGCAGCAGATGAGGTCTCGATCCTCACTGGTGGTGTGACACCGACAGCTGGGGGTGGCAATAGAGTCAGCAGGGAAACCACTGTGTCCTCACCATGTCCCTGTGTCACCTCTCACCCATCCCCGTACCGTAAGAGGAGCTGTCGCCAGTCTGGATAGTGACAATGAGGGACGTCTCATGTGTGACACTACCCGAAGTCACCCGGCACACGTACTCCCCCGAATCGGCTGCTGTCACCTGGGGGATGCGCAGGCGCGTGCCCGACACCTGAAAGAGTCACACACGTCAGAATGGGGACATAAACCSCTCAACCCCCCCAAAAATCCCTTTTCCACCACAAAATGCTCCTCGGCRTYCYCTACCTGGTGCTTGGCTGGGAGGGACCCTCCACGCTTGTACCAGGTGACAGTGGCCTGTCCCTGTCCGGCCACGATGCAGTTGAGGTCCAGGGTCTGACCCTCAGCCACAGGCGAGGATGAGGACTCGATGCGCACTGGAGGGGTGACCCCAACAGCTGGAGA